GTAATCTTTTCCGCTCGAAATAAGACTTCCTTTATCCCAGGCGCTTTGCTCCAAAAATGAGTCGAAGTTGCTGGTAGTGATACTTTTCAGAAAAACGCTGTTCAACTTTATCTTAGAACATCTGAGGAATATTTACTAATTTTTAATTTAATTTAATTATTAATCGAGCCGATTCCAGTGAAGATTAACGATAAAAAAATTCCGGCAAACTCGCGCAAAAGATATTTTTGTTTCAATAATTCCGTATCCAAACAGAATTCAACGGACGATTCGCAATGCTAATTTTATAATAAATCGCGTCAAAGAACACGAGGGATATATTTATTTAAGAATTGTGAAGAATATCATTAACAGTAAATTTACCCATTTCTATGAGGATGCATTTGCTGCTTGGAAATTTAGGTCACAATTCACGATGTCGATGCACCGACCTCGCACAATGTTAAGTGGATACCATTACGATTAAAACATTTTTTGCCCATTTTTATACTTGGCAACATGAAATGAATAAAATCAAACGCTTTCGCAAGGACGCGTAATCTTTTCCGCTAAAAATAAGACTTCCTTTATCTCAGGCGCTTTGCTCCAAAAATGTGCCGGAGTTGCTGGCAGGTGGTACTCGAGAAACGCGTGGAGCGCTAAGGGTTAAAAGATCTGTATACCTGAGCTATAGAAGGGTAATCCTGCAAGAGCGAGTACGTGTAGTTTCCATGCTCGTCCAAGTGGCACTTGCAATCGTTCGGCTCGATGATACCGGCGAGCTGAGTAAACATCACCGAGTCATTCAGTGGAACGACAATAGACTGTATTCAAATATGATTTCCTCAAGCAAATACGCTTCTAGGAAACGTACTCTACCGTCTCCGGCGATATGGGACGTCGCGTCTGTCGAGAACACGATAAGATGTCTGGCCTGTCGCCGCCATCCGATTTCCTTGGTGCAAACTACAGCCTGCATGATTGCGTCCATGCCGCCTTCGGGCCCGTCCAGATTACCGGATATCACTGCCCGTTGCACTTTGTCCTACGAAAAACCGTCGATCACTATTCGCACGTTGCAATTAACACGTTCCGTGCCACGTGTACCATCGATGGTACACGCTTGCATGTTTACTTAGTGAACTGAACAAATTGTTTACAAGAAATTTAGAACCGAAGAATCAATTTCCACCGCAAGAATGGGCGTTGATAAGTTTTTGTTACGTTGTTATGTGTACGAGAATTAATAATTGCACGTAATACATCAAGTTTTAGTAAAATACCAAAGTGTGAAGATTCGAGTAAAAAAAGCTCGGCACGGAACGTGTTAAATACAGTAAGGCCCCTGAAATTTTCCACCAGCTTCTAAACAAATACAGTAAATACTCTACAAACAAAAATGGACAATTCGGGAAGAGGAGATACGATTATTATAGTTGTTGACAATCGGTGACTGTAAAAACGAGCCGCGAGGCTCGAATAATCGTACCAACTCTTTCCAAACTGTCCACTTTGTTTCCAAACCGAAGGGAGATCAGACAATTAGGGAGAATTTATTGTACCGACAATTTCGGAGGAAGATACACGATTATTCGAGCAAAAATCGGCAATTATGAAAATGAATCGGAAGGCAGGAATAATGGTATCTCCTAATCCGAAATTGTCTACTTTTTTGTTTTAAAGCTGAAGGACGATTTGAGAGAATTTACTGTAACACAAACAACACTGAAATGTTTACTTTGAAGGAGTATATGTCGTCGGTCAACGGCATCTGATTCCTGTAACCGTAAGGGTAGGCGTCCGTTTTACGTAGCACGCTGTGGAAATTGAAAGCTCGTTAACAAAGGTGTTTGGCTGTGCTTCTTGACAGTGGAAACACCGAATAGCGAAATTCGAAGTAATTTCGGGCACATATAATACAGTGATTGACGTTCGAAATGTGCACAAAAATAGACAATTCGGAAACAAGAGATCCGATTGTTCGAGTCGTGCGGCTTGTTGTTATAATCGTTGATAATCGATAACTATAAAAACAAGCCGCAAGGTTCGAATAATCGTACCTCCTCTTCCCAAATTATTTATTTTTCCGTACAAGTTGAGCGTCGATTGGGGAGAATTTACTGTACATCGGTTTCGGTAGATTATTTCTATCTTATCTGATTTCGGTGATCGAAGTTAGGTTGTTCAATTTTAACGAAAGCTTCGATGGAATCGAAAGGAAGTCGATTTTACGAAGATTCTAGCATCGAAGACACGCTCGATAGAACATGGAACATACTGTTTGGGATTGGTCATAGGCAGCACAACTTTGTCGACGAAACTGCCGAATCCCAGACGAAAATTGGAGGTGAGCTTTCGCATTGCGTCGGCTATGTCCTGCCCGATTTGTGACAACTGATCCTTGTAGCTTTCCATGGTGTACGACAGATCCATGATATAGTACAAATCAACCGGATAGTCCTCTGCTAGACTGTAATTGAGAGTTAAGCGGTATTCCTCGCCTGCAAGGATCACGATCGATTATAACGGTCTACCGTTCTGTTCGAAAGAAAAATAGACCTATCAGGATGTAAAAACGATACGTTCCTCGTCGAAGTCTCAGCTTAACCCTCTGCGGCTGAATTTGGACGGGGACGCTGCCTTTAGCAGCAGACAGCGATCGATTCTCGAGCGTAGTTAAATAGTTCTGTTCGTTGATCACGTGAGATTTCGGACACCAGTTGCCGCGTTCCTTATGATACTTTGCCCTGGTGATGCAGCGCACCAAACCACCGTTGTGGTTCTCGGATGACTCCTGAAATTGACAATTTAACCCGTGACCCTCGGCGAACCGAACAATTTTGTCGGCTCTTGCCAGGCTTCGATGCGACTCGTATCAAATTTTAACGAACTTCGGCCAACGTGCTCGCTTCGGGCAGATGATTAACGCGCACAGTGTCTTACAAAATGTATCGGGTCTGGGAAAAAGTTCGTGGCGTTTTCCCGATAGATGTCGTCAATTGTTAATAACTCACGAACAACTTATTGCAACGATACCACTAAACGCTTCATTTAAAGGTGACACATTGAACGTAATTTTGAGCGTATAAACATCGTGGTGGCGCAGTACTTGGAAAGTTGTTGGCGTTTGAAAGTGGAGAAAAATAATGAGAAATTTTGCTATATTTTACAATATTATTACGACGAAGGGAAGAACGCCGCGAAGGCTTGTGAACAAATTTGTGCTGTGTACGGTGAAGGTACATTATCAAAATCAGCTGCGCGGAAATGGTTCGCTCGCTTTCGTTCCGATGGAAGATGAGTCACGCTCTGGTCGTCCAGTTACCGAAAAAGCTAATGAAATTGTTGAAAAAGTCCAGCAAGATAAGCATATTAGCAGTGTCGATATTGGTATGGAACTAGGCATTGACCACAAAACTGTTTTGAACCATTTACAGAAAGCTGGATACGAACAGAAGCTGGATGTTTGGGTTCCTCGTGAGTTGAGCGCGGAAAACATGATGAATCGAATCAACATCTGTGACGCGCTGCTGAAACGTAATGAAATCGAGCCATTTCTGAAACGTGTCATAACCGGTGATGAAAAATGGATCACGTACGACAATCGGAAGCGTCAAAGATCGTGGACAAAAGATGATGAACCGTCACAAACGTTCGCGAAACCAGGATTCACGCTAAAAAGGGAGATGCTGTGTATGTGGTGGGACTGGAAGAGAATCGCCCACCATGAGGTACTTCCAGTTGGTCGGACGATTAATTCTCCACTCTACTGTGAACAACTGGAGAGATTACGCCACGCAATTGAAAAAAACGGCCCCAATTTCATAAAAGGGAAGGTGTTGTCTTCCATCGCGACAACGCCGGACCACACATTTCTTTGACGACCCGTAAAAAATTGCGGGAGATTGGTTGGGAAATTTTGATGCACCCACAGTATAGTCCAGACCTAGCACCCTCTGACTATCACTTGTTCCGATCTCTGCAGAACTCTCTCGATGGGATTAAACTGGCTTCAAAAGAAGCCTGTGAAAACCACTTGATTCAGTTTTTTAACCAGAAACCACAGATGTTCTTCACCGATGGTATCATGATTCTACCCGAAAAATGGCGAAACATTGTCGATAATAACGGAGCATATTTGGTTTAAATAAATTCGTTTTCACAATATAAGAAATCCAGTTGAATTTTACTAACGAAACGCCACGCACTTTTTCCCAGACCCAACGTTATAAATAGAATAATCACCGTGTTGGAGCACCAGACGCATTGCGGGGTCCGCAGACAGCTGGTGCAGGTTCGTTGAGAGGCGCACTGGCTCTCCGCGTCCTTGTACTCGGACGAGATGAACGGTAGAAGTTGAATCCAGAGGAAAAACAGGAGCTTCCAAGAAGTCATTGTTCTTCGTTGCTGGCACTAATTTACTTATGGACAAGCGAGGTGTGGCAAACTGGACGCCACGGAAGGATATTGCGGCATCGCGCGGAAACGGGACCGAGATAAACCGACAGACACGTCATTGCGGAACAATCTTCCGTTCAAAGTGATCCGTCGATCACTGGTGAAATCATTCGGGTGATATCTGGTGTCCGACACCATTGATTCCCAAACACGTCGTTTACATTTTCACCGTTCCGTCCTATCTGTCGGACCGATCCTACCTGAGAATACAATTTCGGTTCTAATTCCGCCCGGTTTTCTCGGACGTCGGTTCGCGAGCAGTTCGATCTCACTCGTTGCTATGAAATTCGGTGCAACTTGAATCGATTAGGTAGCGCGGCGAATCGCTTGTCCAGCATTCGCCGGGAGAGAAAAATGTGGCGGACGATGAATAACGACGGTGAGATGCGAGCGAATACTGAGAGATTCCGCGGAAACGGCTGGATGATAAAGCGGCGGATACGTCATTGACACCATGAAATTTCATCAAATTTCACTGGACATTGCTCGCTGACGGAATAATTGCAGCTTCTTTTACTCCGATAACGAGTAACAGAATTGTTTAGGTATAAGTAAATCGCGAAAATTTATGGGAAATAAATATTTTCGAAGCCGATTGTAAGAAACAGAAATGAAATAAAAATAAGTCGTTTCTTTTAGTAATTTTGATAAATTGAAAGTAGCGTAATAAAATTATTAAATTCTTATTAGATCTTCGCAATTTTCTGTTTCATTCACGGATATGTGCCATAAACGCATGAAATCCGCAGCCAAGTTATAAGTGGAAGTCCGAGATATTAAAAAGATAGTAAAAAAGAGATTGAAGAATCTTTCAGTAACAACAATCGGTAGATGTCGATTTTTTTTTTTGCTTCTATTCGTACATTCTAGTCTCAAAGTGATCACAGTCATGACGCTCATCGACTGCATATTACATATTGCCATTACTATGACTAATTAGGATCTTATAAGCAACACTTCAATTAAGTCGGTCCCCTTTGAAAAATGTACGTACAAAATATTTGGTGAAATCTTGCAATGTTCGGTTTAAACAAATATTCTGAGCATACAAAAATGTTCAAAAAATGTTTTCTGCATCCATATGTGTTAAAAGTCTCATGAAAATTGCATCGTTATCAATTTCGTTATCTCCAAAATATAAAAATATCGCCAATTCGCGTAGCGACGCGGTGACGAAATGCTCGAACCGCAGACCAGGAATAGGAATAGATCTATTTTTAGGTGACAAAATACTTTATTAGGTGTCAAGTCCACTTCTGTACCTGATAATGATAATACATTGGCTGCCTACTTCTATCCTTGACTATGATAATATCATCCATCGGTAAGTCAGGTTTCTCCGATATGTGTAGTATGTATCACAATTTTCCCTGTATGTATCACAACGCGTGCGTCCAAATGCTAAACAATTTCTGAATTATCGCCTGCAGATAATTCTCACTATTATTGCCGAGGCTGTCGGAATACTTCAATATTCGAGCGGTCAAATTCGAGGTCGATAAAACCGAGCGGCTCGAAAGAATCGAGTAGCTCGAAAGAAAAATATCCAATTATTTCTATTAAAATCAATATATATAAATTTACAATAAAAAAATAAATATTATTATTATTATTTATAATAAAAGACAATATTATAAAATAACAGATATTAAAATCAATATAATATCATCTTCGAATAATTTCGGCGAACTGTTTAAGCGTTCTGCCGTGCTGCGGCGCTATTTCGACATCTTCAGCAAAATTCGTAGGCACCGCCATCTAGCGGAGAGGACGAAAACTAAATCGTTGAACAGTTCGAGCGTTTTGTCGCTGCGACTAACGGCGCTATTTCAATATTTTCGGGAGCAGATGATTCGTGCCAGTTTTAACACGGTCTCTTATGGGGAAAGCGGCAAGAATCATCTGTCCTCGATATTTGCGACGATAAAAATAATTCTTTCGTATGATACAGACTCAGGAGAGTCTCCTGAATATTTCTGTACGATGCAGTCTCTTATATCCGAATGAAAACTGACCAGCGAAGACATATAGGTAATCTTGCATCGATGGATAAAAAGAAAAAAACGGTGAGGAGTATCGCAGTGGCGAGGAAGCAAATGAATTGGACGAAACGATTCTTGTACAATTCCTTTATTGAACGTCTTCGTCGACAATATCGGTGACGGTAACGCAGAAAAAGAAAAGAGAGGAGTCTTCGAGAACGTTGCGTTGCGTTCGCGTTTACCACGAATAAAACCAGTAGCTGCTGAAAATCACCGCTTTATTAACAACATTATCGTAAGCATTATAAATACGATACATAATAGTTCTCATTTCGATTTGGTTCTGTGACCGGTGTTTGTCGTACAGATTCTCTATTCTCGCCTGTTAAAATTCGGAACGTACGTACTGGCAGTATTACTTTTTTTACTTTTTTCTTTTTTCTTTTTTGCGAGAGAATGACCATCACACTATCGAAAGAAACTCTATCGGTTAAAGATTTTTTGTTTGGCGAGCAGGTTTCGCGTCCCTGACGTTTCCTCGGGTTTTTCTTTCCTCGACGTGCGAACATTCGGGGCGCGCATCCTCGTCGCGCGACAAAAAAGGACAAACGAGCTCGCTCTCGCACGACGCGCGTCGAGATCTCGAATATATCCGACGACGAAGAGAATCACTCGGGACCTCGAAGACGGCTTCGCTCCGGGGCCCGAAAGTGACACGGATAGTAGCCTGGCAAAGCGGAGAACATGGTTTTCGGAAGGAGTCGCGTGAAAATAGAAGAAAGACGAACATCTTGCGTTCACCGGCTGAAACGTTGGAATCGCTCTTTCAAGATCGCCGAGCGCGTTCATCGATCGGAACCCTTTAACGCAATTTATCTAAATCGGTCATCGTTGGCAGTGCATCCATTTCGAAATGATATTGGACGCATCGATGCTGCCGGCCACGACACCGCTAACGGGTCTTTCAATATCCTTGCAGGCGTAACATGCTTGAGAAAGAACTCTTCTTTTCTTCAAGCAGTCTATCAATTAAGTTTTAGTTTCAATTCACTGGAACCCGCTAACGCAATTTATCTAACTCGGTCGTCTTTGGCCGCGTTTGGAGTCATCTTTGGCAGTGTGTTCACTTCGAAATGTCATTGAACGCATCGATACCATCAGCCTCGGCGCCGCTGACGGGACTTTCAATATCGTTGCAGGCATAATGTGCTTGAGAAAGTACAATAAATTCTCCCCAATCGTCCTTCAGCATGTAAACAAGAATGGAGAATTTGGGAAGAGGAGTTACGATTATTATTATATTATATATACTATATATTATACATACAGGGTGTTTCAGTAACTCTGTTACAAAGCGATATCTCCATTATCGTTAACGATACGCGAAAATGCTTGAGGAACAAATTGTTTGGTTCGAAGGGACACATATTACGGTGGAAATCATTTTCTTGTATAGGTCATACTTTTTGAGATTTCAAGGTCAACGATGTTTTTTCAAATGGGATTACATGTTTCTATCGTCATATCATGATAGCTATGATCAAGACGAATCCAATAACCTATAATACCATGACCTTCGTGTGACCTTGGATACGAAAAATAAAGAAATTTTTAGACATGGACGACACGTTTATTGATACCAAATGCCAGCATGTTTATATATATATATATATATATGTTACGTTCCTTTCGGTAGACATCACGCTTTTTGGTAGAACGTTTTGGTATGGAGTGTGGAGCTCTGTCAGAGTTTTCATAATCGAATTAATGAATGTCTTGAAGTCGATGGGAATAATTTTGAACATTTATTACAATAAACTTTTCATCGTTGATTTCCCTGTTGTAGTTATTTCATTATGCGTGTCCATGTCTAAAAATCTCTTTATCTTTCGTACCCAAGGTCACACGAAGGCCATAGTATTATAGGTTATTAGATTCGTCTTGATCTTAGCTATCATGATATAACGATAGAAATATGTAATCCCATTTGAAAAAACATCGATGACCTAAAAATCTCAAAAAGTATGACCTTTACAAGAAAATGATTTCCATCACTACATGTGTCCCTTTGAATCAAACAATTTGTTCCTCAAGCATTTCCGCGTATCATCAACGATAGTGGAGATATCGCTTTGTAACAGAGTTCCTGAGACACCCTGTATATGTAATATGTTATATTATATATTATATTATATCATTATATTCGAGCCTCGCGCCTCGTTTTTCTAGTTGTCGACGATCGGCGATAATAAAAACGAGTCGCGAGGCTCGAATAATCATATCCCCCTTCCCAAATTGTCCATGTTTGTTCACAAGCAGAACAATTGAGGAAAATTCACTGTATTCTTCTTTCTTTCAAGCACACTGTAATCTAGTCTGCCATCGTAACTGCTCATTGGACGTGGAAATAGTTTCGCTATCGGTCGCCTCTGCTCCGAGCAGCCGAAGAGCCTAAATCCGAGCGATTTTATTATTTCATTACTTTCTTCACCTTCGATTGTACTTTCGACGAATAACCTTGGAAAGATCACAACTTCGCTTGGAAGTTTGAACGATTCGAGAGGAGGACCAGGGGTCAGGAAACCTTAGGAAACTATGATCCACGTCCTTGATCAGAAGTCGTAGACGAAACCGTCGAGCTGCGAATCCCTCGGCTCGCTGTACGTTTAGGTCGAGTTTCGCAGTTAGTCGGACGATATCTCCATCGGTTCGAGGAGCGATTCCGAAATTTCGGGCGATCGGTTGAGTCTGAACGGCGTAGAACAGAGAGAGGAGGACTCGCGAGCAAGGAGACAGGGTGTCCATTCGATGGGTACCATCGAGTCGGTACGACTCCTTCCCGAAACCATCTGCTCTGCTCTGCCAGAAAATGCACATTTACCAACGAAATAAGTGGAACAGGGGAGAGCGATTTATCGGCGCTGGCGGTCCTTCTTGTTTTGATTGCTTGCTACTTCGTTTCAGTCTGTTCCTCCCGTCGCACAGCGGGGCCGTTCCGTGCCAAACGCGGTAGAAAAACATTCTATATCTTAAATCATTTGTATATCTCTTTGTGTCTTATCCTACACAATGTAAATATGTATTCGAGAAACCAACACTTTGAACTAAACGCTTCGATAAAATACTTCGCATGATACGCGACACTCGCGAAAGCCGCATGACAAATGCTCGAATCGCGTGTTTTCCACGGTTTCGTAGCATTCGTGGCAAATATTGCGAAAAACGGAAGGAAATGTTGCGTTTCCAACAATCGGCAGTGCTTGGAGTTTCGAGTCGCGCAATTATTTCTGCGACTCTCGCATTGGCAGCTCGTGGCAGCTATAGTGTTTCTTTTTTAAATAAAGCTAAAAAGCTTCAGTGTCTGTAGAACGCGGCTTAAACGAACGCTGCATCCCAT